CGAATTTTCCAAAGCAGCCAACCCTTGGAACGGGGCGTGGGCAAGCATGTTTCCCCGACTTCTCTTCTGCTGGCAGCATCATGCAGCTAGGAAATGCCCAGCTACATCTAGCAGCCTCCATTCTGGGTTACTGGCTTTTAGAAACAAAGCACAGGGGCCATCTGTGATGTTTTGGTGGCTGTTTACCACCTTAATCCTGCACTGACCAAAGGCTTCTTTGTTTTTGTCATTTTATTTTATTTTATTTTATTTTATTTTATTTTATTTTATTTTATTTTACTTTATTTTATTTTTTATTTTTATTATTTAATTTCCCCAGAATTGTTTACTCAGCTCCTGAATAGAGATATGTAAAGCTGGCAGCTCTTCCAGACTCCTCTCTGCAACTTCGGCAGATGCCAAGTTCTTGGCACCTCTGCAGTCCCTGGGGGGGTTAAGAAAGCCAATCCTGCTCAGATACATCCAAATTAAAAAATAAATAAAATGAAAGGAGACTGAGAAGAATGGGGATGTTTAAAAGAGCATAGCCTGCCATTCTGCAGAGCCCAAGGAATTTATGGAGACCAGTGCTTCTATTTGGGAAAACCATGGGCAGGATCGGGGGGCTGCCCGCTAGCCTGAAGAGCAGCTTGCGGGGGGACCTCAAGGCCTTCAGAGAAGGGTCTTTAGCCTCATGTTCACTCGGYGGCAGCCCCTGTGAAGGGCGAGCCGCTGCTTGCCCAGAGCGTCGCAGYGCGGCCTGGGGCCCGGGGTCGCTCCCCACGAGCCCCCGGTGCCCGCGAGCCCCAGCGCCGCGCTCGGCCCGGCCCGGGCGGCGCCGCGGAGCCAGCGCCGCGTTTCTGGGTCACGCTGTTCTCCAGAGACGGGCGAGGAGGGGAAGCGGGTGAGGAGGTGCCGCACACACCTGCCGGGGCAGAGGCCCGCGCACGGGGCGGCCCTGACCTCCACAGTCCTCCCTTCCCAAACCTGCTCCCGCGAGCAACGAGGCTGCCCCTTGCAGCCCGCGCCGTGCGTGTCCGGGGCGGGATTGGTGCAACGGAGGGGAAGATTCACCCCCGAGCATGGCATCGACCCATCGGCTGGGCCCTGCCTCCCCTCCCTGCTCGTGGGGCTGCCTTTCCCTTCCCGCGCTTCACTGGAGTCTAATCCTGCCTGCAGAAAATGCCTCCTGCTTCTTTTATTATTATTATTATTATTATTATTATTATTATTATTATTATTATTATTATTATTATTATTATTATTATTATTATTATTATTATTATTATTATTATTCCGTTGGGGCATCTCTTTTCTCTTCCCAGCCTAAACTCCGCTAGGCTGCTAATCCCCTCCGGCTTCCACTTGTGCTCCCAGCTCCATGTAATCCATACGCACAGCTTACACATGTCTCGGGGTTCGCGAGCGAGCGAGGAGCTCCAGACAGAGCTCTATGGTGCGTGCGCATGGGGAGTGCTTCGCTTGCCAGCGTTATCAACCCACAACACGCAGCTCTRAGGGGAAGCAGGGGAGATGGATGGTGAACCCACTCCAAACTCCAGTCGGGGATTGGGGTTGCCGGGATATAAGCCCTCACGTTGAGGTTTAGCCAGAACTCATAGGCTTAGGGAAAGAGCTAAAGGACTTAAAGCACCTYGCCCATCGCCAGGGCCTTGTTTACAAGTCTTGTTAATGGTGTGACACGTCTTGGGGATGTCAGAGGCGCCCTGAGCGGGTTGGGACGCAGGGACACGCTGTGTCGGATGGAGCTGGCGTCTTTCTGTGCAAGGTGAATTCTCACTGCTATGCAGAAGTACTAATTACTATCCACTAAATCAAAAAAGAGAAGAGAAGAGAAGAGAAGAGAAGAGAAGAGAAGAGAAGAGAAGAGAAGAGAAGAGAAGAGAAGAGAAGAGAAGAGAAGAGAAGAGAAGAGAAGAGAAGAGAAGAGAAGAGAAGAGAAGAGAAGAGAAGAGAAGAGAAGAGAAGAGAAGAGAAGAGAAGAGAAGAGAAGAGAAGAGGAGGAGAACAGGAATTCTCCAGGCAGCCTCGCCCTCCAGCTACAGCTTTCGCTACCCGCGATGGCAGAAATGCAGTCTCTACATGTTGGGTGTTTTTCTTCCAGCAGCGCTAGGAATCCTCCTGCTATCTCCCGATGCTCTCCAAACCTTAATGCGGCCAAAGGAGGAATGGGAGGAGGGAGGGAAGCGTGTTCCTTCCCCCATAGCATGCCCCGGGGATGGCACATTTCCGCACTTCCCGCTCCGCGTTGTGTGTCCTGGGAGCAGCCCTGGTCTCCCATAGCGAGTGCGGAGGTCGCCCAGCCCCTGCGTGGTGCKTGTCACTCTGTTTGGGGCTTTTCCCGACTTGCAGGGGACCACGCTCAAAAAATGAAAAAATAAAGGATGCCCGCGCTGCCTCCGTGGCAGGATTATTCTGCATATTCAGACCTTTCATTTGCTAGTGCCTTTCCAGCAGCCTCCCGCTGCGCCGCTGCACTGCTTTCTCTCTTTCTGCTTAGGACTCTGTGCTTCTGGAGGTTTTGAATTTCACTCCATTGCAAGCAGAAAAAGCCTCTTCTCCTCTCTCGTTTCTCCAGATCATTCTGGTTCTGTCCTCCTGCATCCACCGCTCCGTGCTAAAGGGACAGGGAGAGGCGGCTTTTGCTCAGTCCGCATCTTCCCAGAGCTCCCAAAGGAGCCCATTAAGCACTGACAGGGTCCCATGGGCTTCCTCCTGCCATATGCACAACATCCATTTCCCTCCTTTGGCCCAGGCTCCCAAGTCGTAGGGTACATAACATGTAGAAAAAACTGTTTTTTTCCTTTTCTCTTTACTTCTTCTCTCTCTTCTTCCAGCGGCAGTGCAGGCAGCTCAGTGCTTCTGCTCACTTCTTTCTCTCTTGTACTTAGTAAATCGGTAATTATGTCAAAGGACATGTTTGGTTTGTGTGCTCTGCTTTATGTAAGTGTGTTTGGCAACTCTTAAACTTCTATCTGGAGCATCCACATGCTGGAAGATTTCCCATAGGAGCTGCTCTTGGTGTAAGTTAGCAAATACCATAGGTACCTGAGAGGGGGGATAAGCAAGACAGACCTGTTTGTACAGCTAGCAGAATTGGTGCCAGGTTAGGGGATCGCAGGGTGGTGTAAAACCTTTTCAACTCCACTTCAGTCGGTGTCAGGACAGCACCTTCCCCTTAAGCAGCCCCACAGCAGCCTGGGGGAAAGGACTGGCCTCCTTGGATGAAAGCAAGTGCTTCGGAGCCGTCCCACACAGCAAGGGCTCAAAGGATGGGAGAGCCCCTGTCCCCGCTCCTTGGCGAGCAGAGGTGGGTGCAGAGCACCCGTGTTGCTGCAGGGGGGAGCATCGTCTTCCACAGCCTCCGCCAGCCGCAGGGCCAGACCTTGCACAGCCCTGCTGCCTTTTTCCCCTTGGACCATTAGGTGCCATTTCCCAGGCAGGGTTAAAAGGGCTTGGAGAGCAGGTTCCCTCGCRGGTGCTCCCGGCTGCCTGCAGCACTCCCAGCCCTCCTGGCAGGCACAGAAACGAGGGCGCCTGCAAGCAGCGGGGCAGTTGAGCGCCCCACATGATTCCCCCAGATCCCCGCAGGGCAAAGTCAGACCCAGAGTGGGGCAGCCCCAGAGCACCCACCTGCACCCTGGGGGCTCCCTCTGTGCCAAGGCACCGAGCACGTCCCAGCACCCCGATCCCGCCCGCATATTTCTCCCCGTGCTCAGATCCTGCCCTAGGGCGCTCAGAGCTATTTCATTTATCCCCCTCCACCCTGTCCTACCCTTGCACACCACAAACGCCCTGACTGTGCCCGCACCAAGGCTGGCTGGGCTCTGCGTTGGCACTAACCGTGGCCTCCTCTGCTCATTCATCCTTGCCCTCGCTTACTGCCACTGCCCTGCAGTGACCAAGTCTGGAAGCAGAAGTGAGTCCAGAAGATTCAGGCTCATTCCCTCATCTGTACTTCCATGGTCATCTTTTCCTTCTGTTGAGGGCTGCACCACATTTTTGCACGGAGGGCTGGAGCAGCGGCCTTCCCGGAGGCCTCTGTGCACCGCTTATGAAAGCCGAGCTCCCCAGGGATGGGCAGAGCCCAGCTTGGAGCCTGGAGCGGGAGGGAAGCAGGGGCTGCCTTGCCGCCTGCTGTCAGGACACCAAACTGAAGGGCAGCGTTTCAGGGACGCTTTGGCAGCCCATTCATCCCTGCTCCTCAGCTCAGCAGCCAGCTCTGAGGCGGGAGGCACCTCTGCAGCTCCAGGGCAGGCGCCTCGCTGCACAGCTACAGCCTTCAGTACAGCCAACATGCACAGCACAGCCCCTCGGCTCAGCACCAGCAGGCTGCTTAAAGAGGGCTGCACATGCAAGCCCTCCCCGGCCCTACCAGGTTAGCACATCGAGCCTGCACCAAGAGAAAAGCCCTGCTTTTTGCCCTGCCGCATAAGCCAGATTTGTATTTTAACTCCGAGTCAGAAGCTGGGGAYAGAACCAGGCACATGAGTCTAAGACAGAGCGCTGCTTTGACAGTCACCAGCACAGGGTCAGGTGAGGTTTAAGGCAGCAACCTGCCTGCTCCGAGCTGCACCCTGTTCTGGGGAAATACAGGGTTTCAGCGGCAAGAGCTGTCACACCCACACACGTCTGATGCAAGTAAGAGAGCAAGCCACATAGGTGCCAATGAGTGTAGCTATAAGTTATTTATTCTGCAAAATAGAGGTATCTTCTATGGAGTTGAACAGGGGAGTCACAGCACGACGAGCGGAGTTGTGGAAACATTGTGACAGCAGCACCCCGGCGCGCACACGCGCCCTCCCACACAGGCACCCAGCCTCTGCACCGGCCCCTTCTCTCGCGGCACCCGGAAAGGAGCCCTCGGTGCAGCCCGACTCGCAGCGAGGGGAGCGCTCCAGAGCCCTTCCCGACTCGCAGGCCTTCCAAGGGAAGGAGGCTGCTCGGGAGAGGGTGCAAGGCACAGGCAACGCGTGAGCACCGCGCGGGCGCCCCGGCCCCGCGTCGCAGCCGTTGGCTGCGGCTCTCTCCTCCTCGCCTCGGTCTTTGCTCACGGAGCTGAGCGCAGCGGGGCCGCAGGAGGCRCCTCCTCGCCTCAGGAGACAGTCAGGGCCCCTTGCTCGCCGTGGTCCATGTTCCACAGGCGGTAGAACTCGGCAAAGTCCACGTAGGGCTCCACGCGGCCGTCCTCGTCGGGCTGCAGCGAGTGCGCGGGCCGGGAGCGAAAGAGGCCCCCATCCGAACTGGAGCTGCTGCTCTGCGTGTGGGTGTTGGTGGACTGCAGAGTCACCGTGGGGCTCTGACTGCGGAGAGACACGGAGAGAACAGACGTGAGCATCTCTGTTTCCCCCAGCTGATGCTTTGGACGTGGACATGTCTACTTTTTTCCTCACAGATCAAGCTCTCACAGGTAAAAAGTTGCAGCCCCTCGCTCTGTCGGAGCATTAGCTGTGTTCAGCATTGCCTGGAACTGATGAGTGCCAAAGACGCCCATCTCACCTTTAACTGAAGGGCCTTAAGTACAAGCAGGCTTTTGAGGAGCAGAGAAAAGGAGAAAACAAGCAAGGCATGCGATCTGCTGGCCTCCCCCCACCCCTGCAGGATGATCTTTACAGGAAAAACTGCCAGCAAGACAAATCCATTCTATTGTGACCTGTGTTACAGCCAAGCACCTCGGGTATGTCAGCTTCATTCTTTTTTTCCTGGAGCTACCAGAGCACAAAAACCAGAGAGCTTCTTCACTCCGCACCCTGCACAGGCACCACCCCACACCGAAGGCTGAACTGAAAGCGGAGCCCATAGCGTGAGCCCGCAAAGTGGATGCAGACAGACCTGCTTTTCTCCTCTTTATTCTCTGAGCAAGCCAGCCTGTGCAGCACAGCTCCTCTGGCAGCTCCAGCAGTGCCCTGCGCTGCCCCTGCTCCTTACCAAAGCCTGCCCTGCACGCRCAGCGCCCAGCACGCTGAGCACCGAGACGCCACGGGCAGGGCTGCCACGCCGCTCTCCAGCAGCACCTCCTCAGGGCTGCCTTCAGCTCCTGCTTCACCCACTGCCACTCCTCACTCAGGGCCCTTCGAGAGCCCATCGGGCTGGTCGCACACATAGCGTGGTRCGGCAGTCAGGAGGGCCACGCTACAGACACAGGAACTAGTGACGGGTAACGGGCAGCTGCCTCTGCTTTCCAATGCCATGACGCAGGGTGAGGCACAAGGAAGCAAAGGATTGCGGCTCTCACAGGGCACGGTACTTACTTAGTGAGGGTGGGGGTGGCTTCATCCAGGGTAGAGCTGCTGTGGGCACCATTGACCATCTGGCCTTGGGAAGGCATGACGAGGGACAGCGTGACGCTGGTCTTGCTTGTGCTTTGGGAGCTGGAATATGGCACGGAGACTGGGTAGACACGGCCTCCTGCGAAGGGAGAAAACAGAATTACCAATCCTGTCAAGACATGACTGACCGGGCATGTACAGGGTGATGAATGGTCAGAGGAAGCTGCAAATCCCAAGGAAAGAACCTGCACTAAACTGTCTTTCCTAAACGTATTGCATTTGTTCAAAATGTCCCAGGCTCCTGGGCCTGGAAGCAAACAAACCCCCAAAACTTCAACAAGAAAATACCTTCTACGCTGAGGGTCCTTCCTCCTAACATAGCACTGGATCAAGAGACCTCTTCTCCTCCCTCTGTTTGATTTTTTGTTCCCCTCCCCACTTACCTTGCGTTGGTGTCAGCGTGGGCTGGCTCATCTCACCCAGGGGGTACCCGAAATTCCGCACAAGCAGCGTCATGTCCTCGTGCCGGGGGCAGAACTTGGAGCGCTCCCCGCCGCTGGCGAAGGTGTCGCAGTGGATCCGCTTCACCCGGTCCACCACCGCCTGCGCCACGGCATCCAGGGACGTCTGCTTCGCAAACTCCGTGGCTATCATGGCTGCAATCTCCTGGGCACAAACACACACGCAAGGAAAAAGGGGGGAATGCTTCAGGAAGGGTTCGAGGGAAAGCTTTTTCCAGCTCTCTGGCCTAAGACTTTASAGCAGCTCATCTGGCTGTTGTGCATACCAGTCTCACTCAGTGATATTTGCCTTTGCACCTGGAATCAGCCCATTCTCCTCAATGGACTTACTCCTAAAGGACAGAAAGCTGCCTGGAAGACCTGGATCAGCAAAGCAGCTCTCTCATTTATCACCGCCTGGGATAGGGGAGCACAGATCCAGCCCGGGGGACACTCACAGGACAGATGGGGAAGAAAGTCTGTGCCAGAGGAGTTGGCACCACTGGGACAAGCCAGGAGCCACAGGAGTGTTTCCCACCCGGGACCACTCACCTGATTGGCCTGTCCAGGCCCGTGAGCTGCCTCCAGGGCTTTGTAGAGCCCTTCCGACATCAGCACCAAGAAACCAGTCACGCCATCCAGCGAGTGCCCTCCGTGGATTTCAGGCTCCGCTATGATGGGTTTAGACTTAGCAGCACTGAGAAGAGACAACGTATGTAGCACCTAAGGGCAGTGTAGCAGGCGAGAGGGCAGGGCCATGAACAGAAAGAGGGACTAAAACCACAAAGGTGAGTTTTTCTAACCTGAGCAGCTCGATATCTGTATAGCCATACTTGACTTTGTAATCGCCGATGCGCCGCGTGCTCTCCTGCCCGCGAATGGTTCCCACTTGTTTTATTTTCCCTGCATCCAAGCCTGCAAGATTGAAGGAAAAGGAGAAAATAAAAGTTCATTGACACTTTGGAAACTTTGCAGGACTTCTTGTGGCTATATATACAGCCATACACATTGAGCAATGAGGAAAGAAATATCAACGTCAGATATCAAAGGTTCATTAGGAGCCCAAGAAGAAGGACAGGAAGAACAGCTTGCTCTGTTCAGTGAGGCACTTTCTCATTAGTTGTGGCCTGGGAAGGAGAGAGGAGAGCTGCACACAGCCYGACCTACCCACTCGAGATGCAATGGCTGGTTCTGAGACAAAGCCCATGTCCTAAGCCAAGGCCACCAGCGGCAGCTGGCCTGGACACAGGCTTTTCATTGAAAAGGCAGTGGAGCATCAGTGCCTGTCAGCTCCGCACTTTGTGACAGGAGGAGGAAAGCCAGACTGGGAGGAAAGCAAATATGTGGAGGATTCTGCTCCATTTCTTTTTCACCTGCTATTGAACCCTGCTCCTAACCCCCATCTGACAATTTCCCTATTAAGCTCTTTTGGGGTGGGGTAGTGGTGGGGAGGTGGAGTTGGGAAGTTATCTATAAAAGCCAAAATATTTGCCAATTGTTTGAATTCAGTTCTGCCTACTCCTAAAAGCTAAGACAGGGMGCAATTAAGTATTTATCTCAAGAAAGTTTAAGGTAACATGCCTCTGCTTCAGTGTATAACTCAATTTTGGGAGGGATTAGAAAGGTAACCCATTGGAAAGAGCCTGGATGCCACCCTGTGCCACGTGCTCTAGCGGTCTCTGCTTGAGCAGAGGGTTGGACTATATGATCTCCAGAGGCCCTTTCCTACCTTGACCATTCTGTGAAAGCTGGGACCATCCGGGAGCAGCTACTACTTAAAAAAGGACTGGGAACAGACAAGCCACTTAAGYGGTCTGTTCTGGCAATTCCTCCCTCTACACACTGAGAGCTAAGAGGCAGAAGAGGCTGCTTTGAGATGTTATCTAGGCCCGACTCCTCCGCACAAGGTGAAGGCAGGGCTCCAAGTGAAACTCTCCCCCTGAATCAAGCCAGCCCTYGCTGCACAGATGGCTCCACACCTACCGCAGCAGTGAGACGTCTCTGGCACGTGCTGCAGCGCCAGGCTGACTCACCCTGGCACCCGGCCTGGCTCCTGTGCGCGGCCACGGCAGGGGCCACATGTTACTGACGGGCACRGGGGGCTCCCTGCCCGCGTGCTGGCTCCCTCTGCAGCACTCGTGGGGCTTCAACGCGCTGCGCTGACAACMGCACGGGCACGATGCCCTCCCGCGCTGCCCTGCGCGGAGGCAGCGCAGGCTGCAGCACGACACGTGTGGCCCCCAAGTGTTTTCAACCACTACCCCACAGCTTGGCCCTACAGTCACCTCCTTTGGGCCCCAACAGCGCCTCTGCTCACTGGCTGGCTCCACAGGCTCTCTCCTCTGCTAGGGAGAGAGGAGACTGAGAGGGGATCTGATCAACATGTACAAATACCTGACAGGAGAATGYAGCAAGGATGGGGCCAAACTCTGCTCTGTGGTGACCAGWGATAGGACAAGGTGTAACGGGTACAACTTGAAACACAGGCATTTTTTTCTCCATATGGGGAAGAACTTCTTCCCTGTGAGGGTGACAGAGCCCTAGCACAGGCTGCCCAGGGAGGTTGCGGAGTCTCCTTCTCTGGAGATCTCCCAAACCCGCCTGGATTCCGCCCTGTGCTCCGGGTGTCCCTGCTGGAGCACGGGCTTGGACTAGATGAGCTCACAGAATGGTTAAGGTTGCAAGGGACCTCTAGAGATCATCCACAGATCTCTAGAGATCTAGAGATCTCCAGAGGTCCCTTCCAACCTCTACTATCCTGTGATTCTATGGTTCTGTGACTGCTGTCGGGTTAAAAAGGTGGATAAATTGAGCAAACTGCTGTTCTGCTACAGGCCACAGCTCAACTCCACACAGTTATTTGGGAAGTGAAAAGGCAGTTGAAGGCTCTTTCCCTAGATCTCCATCCTCATTTTTCTATTTCATGGTACATGTCGCTACCACAAGATTATGGAGAAAAAAAAAGAGAAAACTGAAGAGCAATGCAAAGGAAGATAAGGTTTTGCAGCAGCAAATTACTGTATCAACAGYCTTATTAGATAAGAATATATTTACTAGACAAAGATAATGAAGAATGACATATTAGCCCTACCCAGGACATCAGCATCTCAATGAGAAGAATTTAGTACTAACAACCACACAAATGAATTGGGCTAGTTCTAGACAAAGAAAACACACAGTAAAGTAAAAGGAAAATGGCCTGAAGCAAAATGYCTGTATTACACAGACCTCAATAGCTACTGATAGGACACCAGTAAAGAGCAGCACTTAGCCTGCTGCTATCTGAAACGCAGCCTTTATTTTTATTTTGCAACAGTTTGCACAAAGGCATCTTGAAACGCACCATCCCCAGGGTGAGGCATTAGGCAGAACTTAACCCAGCGTAACTGTGGTTTGCCTCCACAGGGGCAGTCACACACTGCCCTTCCTTCCTCTACCCTCTGGCCGGGCGCTTTTCCTCTTGCCTTCAAACAAGCTCTAGCACTTGCCCAGCTGGAGGGCAAACCAGGTTCAGTTTGGCAGCTGGACGCAAAACYAACCCTGAAAACGTGTGGGGAAAAAATGGACAGCTTTCTGTTGGTTCAGGGAGCTGAGCTGACTTGCTCTGTAACCTCACAGTGGCTAAATTTACAGAAAAGAAAAAAAAAAAACAAAAAGGAGGCAGTAAACTTGTAATTTGAAACTGCAACCCACGAGGAGCTTCTTTTGTGGCCAGTTTATTGTTTCCAGTAGCTTGAGTCATTCTGGTAACACAGATCAAGTGGGCCACGAGATCTCAGATAAGAGCATGCAACCCAACACTCACCCAGCTGGGAGAAGCGGAAAAGTTCATCCTCGTTCTCGGTCGTGTGGTCCACGTTGAGCTGAGTCACCTGCAGCCCGTCCACCGTGGACTTGCAGAGCAGCGCCCGGTTGGTACCTGCGGCAGAAGCAGTGATGTGAGGCCACCGTCGAGACGCAGAACACATCCCAATGATGAGGAGAAGTGGAAAAGGAGAATCAGGAAGGAAGAGAAAGGCTTGTCTACTGTTTCACCATAATGTCCTAAAAGCAGCCATGCTCACAGTGCTGCAGGCCTGCTGGTTCTTCATCCAGGCTGGAGCTGGAGCTCAAAAGAAGGCTCCCCACTTCTCACTGAACCTGCTCCTGACTCACTTGTCATTTTCTCTCTCTTCTTTGGACATGTGTGTTATATGAGCCAATATTTACAGAGATAAACACCAAAGTTCATGTCTAAAGACCCAGAAAACTGCTTCCTGCCCCTCAARTTCAGATTTCTTTCAGTTCCTAGAACTGCTGCCACCCTCAGAAAGGCCAAGACCGAAGAGCTGACAAAGAACAACTCACCCACGTTGGCGATATAGAGCTTGTTGTTGAGGACAACAGCCACAATCGCCATGGCTCCTCCGGAGATCTCCTGCTCTACAACCTTCAATCTCTCCACAATCTTCTGGTATTGAGGAGGCAGCTGGTGGTGAGGGACACCCTGGAAGCCAAGACACCGGAGGAAGCTTAAACACACAGTTCACAACCCAGAAACCACAGCTGGATTCCAAATGCTGCACAGAGGGAACTGTCTTTATGCAGTCTTGCCACAGGGCTGAGAAAAAGAAACATCCCAACAAATAACACAGCTCTGATCGAGTGAACTGGACCTGTCACCCCCAGAATCTTAAGAGCAGTAGCCACATCTGCCCAGATGCCATGCAAATGTGAGCCCTGCTGACTGTGCCATATGGCTTGTGCTGGCAGAGCCACGGGCACAGAGGGAACTCTCATCTCTGTGATACATTCAGTTCTTCGCTCCTCTTCTGAACRGACTAACAATGACTACACAGGGTCAATAAGGACACACTGGGAACTGGACCAAGACACTTGCTATGAAGTGAAGACTTCACAGACCCCTGGTGGGACAGAACTAAAAAGTGAGAATTTTTCAACTAYAGCTTCCCTTGGACCAGACTATTGTCTCCAACACTTATCCAGAAATTTGGAGGAAGGGACCTCCCACCATCTCCGTTTTAGAGACCGTAAGGCTACGTTACCTCTGGTAGCTGGGACTGCAGGCTGGCTTTCTCTGCCAAAGCATCATCAATGGACTCCAGGAAGCTCCTTTCCACCACATCAAAAGCCTAAAAGAGATCATAAGAGAGACTGAGCTGTTATCTATCAKCTGCAGAGCTTTCAAGCTACCCACCCCCACACCAACACTGGCTCACAAGAACGGCTGATTGCTGTATTCATGATCACTACAACATACCTAAGCACAATTATTTTGATGCAACTAATTAGCAGCTTGTAAAAACAATGTGCAATACACAMAACAGGAGATAAAAATACACAAGTTATGCTCAGAGTGATGCCAGAGACCTGTCTACTTTTGTGTGTTGATTCTAATAACTYAGCTCTTATCACTCCAGAAGGTAGACTCACAGATCCATCTCTGCACACAGCAAGTATTCACTTCTAGTCATTGTCATCTCCTCCACAGGTTGGCTTGTCCCTGCGTGTCCAGCGAGGGCTGCCTGCAGCTTCCCACCGAGCTCTTAGCAGGGGGCTGAGCCAGGGGGACACACGGGGACGAGGTGGGAGTGAAACAAAGCAGTGCAGCTGCTCGGCACAAGCGCTGTCGCCTATCTCCGCTACTGGCAGATGTTCCCCATCCTCCAGAAACTGGTTGCTTTTCCCCGCTGGCAAAACCAAGGGGGTGGGAAGCAGGGGCTGCTCTCAGCCAAATCTWACTTACCTGCAGCAGAACGCGGCGCACGTCAGCATCGCTGTGGTCCGCGTGTAGCTGCCCCAAGAGCAGCTCTGCCGAGAGCCTCTGACCCACAAAGTTGGTGACTCGGTTGCCATCGTAGCCATTGAAGACACCATAGAGGTAGCAGTTGTTCTCGCTCCTGTCAGAGAGGGTGGAAGCAAAGAGGTCACAGATGCCTGCGACACAAAAAGAGGGCAGATGTAACAGGTTTCTCCAGGCAACTCCTGCACGCTCTGCCCCCCTCCCTGTGCTTTCAGGTGCTACTGAGACAAGCCAAACACCTGCCCCGTGTCCCGCACGCACCTCACCTACCTGAACTTTAACCAGTTATCTTCCAAGGGGTGCCCCTCTGTGCCCTTGCCGTCCGCGCTGTAGGAACGGTTTGGAGCGGAGCCCACCCCAGAGAGATGGCACGAGGGCAGGTCGTCTGTCCAGCTGGGCTGCTGCTCCTGGGAGGCAGGAAAAGGAAAGAATCTGTGTAAATGCCAAGCAGAACAAGGAAAGAAACCACACAGCCGCCTGGCAGAGTGCCGCGAGGGCCCTGGTTCAGCAGCGGCTCGCAGGGCCATCCCCACCTTGCTCTCCACCAAAAGGGTGGCAGGGCAGCCCAGCACGTCCCTTCACTCTCCCTGCCGCTGCAGCGCAGCATCGCTTGGCTCTTCCCTCTTCCCTTCCCTCCGGAGCGGGGCTCTGCCCGCTCCTCCAGCTCTTGCGAACAAGAGACCAGAGGCAGGATTTGCACCCCGGTTTTCCCCTCGGTAGAGCACAGCCCTAGGGGGACCCCCCATCGGGGGACAGAGAGCGGCCCATGGAGGCACAGGGAACGCCGTGACCCCCGTGTGAGGGGATGGATGGATGGATGGATGGATGGATGGATGGATGGACGGATGGATGGACGGATGGAGCGCCTCCAGCGGGAGAGGAGGGCGCGAGCCCCGTCCCTGCAGCCGGCCCCACGTGCGGCCCCCCCACCACACGAGGCGCGCACGGCGCCGCCCAGGCCTGCCCG